TCTAGATATTGGGTTACTATCACGAAATTAAATTATTCCACCCCAATATAATCAAACCACGATTAAAATATATTTTCAATAAATACACCATAAAAAAATTATAATTATACTCATAATACAATAAAAACTAAAAAATTAAAATAAAATACAATATTGTGGTGTAGTCATCCTCCCAATATATTTCATCTTTATTTTATTTTTTCTTAGAATTTTTTTTTTCTCTTTCCGCTTTTCATCTCCATCCGTGTTGATGTATTACAAGTTTTTCATTATGCACCCCCAATAATTTAACCCCGACATATATGGCTTAGGTATAGTGCCCATTACCCCCAATAACTAGTTTTCATAATTGTTTTCCCAAGACTTCTCTGAATTTTTTATTCAATGACTTCAAATTTAGCAAGTTTGGAACTAAATGGAGTAAATATGCTTCATGAGAAGTTTGGCTTATCAACACCTACGAAAATCCCAACTTTCTCTCCAGTTTTCTCCGAATGAGTGTAAATATACCCAATAATTCGTCTTTACTAATTTTAATGACGTGTTGGTCTGTTTCAACTTCATTATTATTATTTTTTTAATTTTTGCTTGTGGATGAATCTTTAGTAATTTACTTCCAGCAAATACATTATGGTGGCGGTGGTGCCTCTACGTTGGAAGCGTAGGCGGCATAGAAAAGACGGGGATCCTTAATTTAACCTAATTAATTCTCAATTCATGAAACCACAAGTTTCAGAAACAAAAATAAAATAAAATCATGGAATAACACCATATAGTGTAAATACATGTACCATGAGGTAAAGAAAATTATCTTTGCTATAATGGAAGAAAGCAAAGTCACAATCAATGGAAAAGTTATGCACAAGTAGATGTTGAAAAAACAAGGAGAAAAAAATTAAGATTTTTGTTTGTGGCAGAACAATAATTTATTTTAGGCTATTTATATATTAAACTCTAATTATGTAATTTTATTTAAGGCTATTTAAGTAAATAAGAAAAATAATAAAAATTTTAAAATTTGTAGTGGTAATATAATTTACCCTTTGATATTTGCTAACCTTCATTGTGTTTTGAACGCATCTTCAAGGAATTGGGAGGGGCACGAAATATATAGACGATGTCATCTTGATGTTATAAACTTGTTAAACTATCAAATTTACAAGAATAATGTTATTTATCTTTATTGGGGATGATGACCATCATATTATGCCCCTGTTTGGTGAGATTAAAATCACATTTTTAGTAGATTTTAATATATATAAATTTATGAAATGTATGGTTGAGAAATTGTAAATCCCATGAAATATGTTATTAAAATTAATCGTTGACTTTAATTTAGATAAAATTCTGAAATTTTAATCCATACCAAACATGGCTCTGTGACAATATCAATGATAAGGTCAAGATCTGTTTTATGCTTTTAATTGAACTTTTACCATTTTATATCCCACACAATCCATCACCAGAGGTTAACCCTTGGGGAGAAATGGCATTATTCACTTTTCTGTAACTACTAAAATAATGAAAAGGTCGATTTAATTGATGAAAAATATAATAATATGTATTGTATATCTAAAGATCTTTGAAATTATAGATGTAATTGTCGTTTATGTTGCTACAAGACTACATGAAGAATACGCGGTATATACTTATCTTTACTCAAGAGGATGTAAAATTAAGATATTGAAAACTTATAAATAGTTAAAAGGGTTTTGCTACTTACACATTCGGGTTGACATCGCGATGTGTAGCCCCTTCACAAATAGGAAGGAGACCCACACCCAATAAAAAAAATTGTAGGCCCTTTTTGTGAGTGAGGTTCTACACAAGAGTGTTAATCCCGGTATACAAGTAACAAAATCCTAGTTTAAAAATACATATAAACTTAAACTTATGACATTTTGTCAGTTTTATACCATAATTAAATTATGTTATTTGAACTTAGGGTCCGTTTGATTACAATGGTGGAAAATGGGTGGAAAGAAAATGTTTTATAGGAAAAAGATTTTCTTAGAAAATGTTTTCCTGGGAATTGTAATTAATTGTGTTTGATTGGTACAATTTTCTACCTAAAAATGTTGAAAGTTTGGTGTTCGTTTGACTTCTTTTTTTTATAAAAATTGTCC